GATGAAGTATTTTTGATTTTGGACTTATCTGTGGAATTACTATATTTTGTATTTGTTATTTTCCTTCCGTTGAACTTCACTTATAATGTCAAGTCGCAAGAAATCAAACACGAGGAGGGTGGAAGACCTCGACGGATCCCGGAAGGCTAAGCAAGTCGATAATGATGAATTTTTTATGGGTAACCCATATGTTAACACTGATGTTATGTCTGATACTTATTATAGTAAGTCACCCTTGGCAGGCATTAAGGAACCAGGATTAAATGAGAGTTCTAAGATACCAGAGACGGATCAGACACTTAAGACACCGATAGTAGGTTTAGAACTACCTAAGGTCGAACTTTCATTTTTTGATGGAAAGTCTCGCGACTACTTTATGTTTATGCGCCAAATAGAAACGTTTATAGAATCAAGAGTAAAAGATGACCAAGTGCGTTTATTGTATTTAATTCATTATTGTAAAGGAAGGGCAAAATTGCGATTGAAGGTTGTATTATAATGGATCCACAATCAGGATATAAGAGAGCTAAGGCCATTCTAAAACAGCTCTTTGGACAGTCGCATGTAATAGCGCGAGAAACCTTAGAGGACTTATTTAGAACCGGGAATGCGGATTTTAATGATCCTGAATTATTGAAGAATTTGGCTATTAAAATGCAGAATGCTGCTTTAACCTTAGAACAGCTCAATTGCACAACGGAACTTAACTCTATGGCTACTTTAGAACGAATAGTAAGGCTCTTACCTCGTCGAATGCAAGCCCAGTGGGCAGAGCTAGTATTCAAGTGGGACGAAGAGGAGAGAGAGCCCAATTTTAACGAATTGACGGAATTTATTATGTCTCGTGCTAAGATAGCTAGTAGTAGGTTTGGAAGATTAGCTTATCAGGCTAAAACAGGAAATAATACGGAAGCTACTAGTGGTCTGCGTGCGAGACATTCGGATTTTTCGTTTCTACCTAAAGCACGCTCGGAAGATGAGAGATTTGTCAATTATATCACGAAAGCATACGCTGATGAAGGACGAGTATGTGACCGTAACGATGTAAAACCTCTTGATGCGTGTCCTAGTAAGAAGCCGGTTGGTGTAACAGATAAGATGGCTTTTCTAAGTATAGAAAAGAAAGAAAAAGGTGAAAAGTGTAGGCATCAAGATGGATCCGAAGTGTGTGATGATAAAAGCCTCTTAGCTGCTCGAAAAGCCTGGAATGGTTATTTGGATTCGAGTAAACAGAGGTTAATGAGTTCAGCAAATATGATTAAGGCCCAGGCAGGATTGACTGAACGGAATAAAGCTTATTTTCGGAACCCTTCAGTTAGGGTAAATTATATAATTGGACCTAGAGTAGATTCTAGGATAAGTGATGGTGGTACAGTAACGGCTAAGAAGCCTAGGAGACATGATGCTACTATTACTAAGAAGCCTGAACCTCATGCTCTTTCGGATGCTACGACTAGCCATGGAAATAGTAGCCGTCAGAACCTTAGTAGTGACAGCGATAATCAGGAGACAGAAAGTGTCAGCAGTCCACTTATATTGACTAGTCTATCAACTTCATCGAATGAGCCTCCTAGTGTTTCGACGTAATTGGACCTCGTCACGAATGTTAAGTTGATTGAAGATGCACAAGGTTGTGCAACTGTAACTGTTCCTATTCCGGTTGACTGTCAGTCGAGTGATGATGAGAAGAAAGTGTTTGATGGTAACAGCCAGTCTACAGTCTTGTGTGATGACGATGCTATTGTTGAGCATATGTCTTGTGTCTCTGAAACAGAACATGAAGAACAACAAGTGAGTATATCAGTTTCGAATTGCGATACTAATGCTGTTCTTTAATGTAATGATATGAGTTATACAAAAATGGAAGAGTTCAACTCTACGGATGCTAGTGCAGACCGAATCGACGCGACTTGTCTGACAGAACGGAATCATGATGACGTTGATAATAATCTGGATTTCACTGATGTGACAAATGAGTTACCGACGATGACGAATGCTGATCAAACCTCCTATGTATCAGGAGATGGAGAGATAAATATTGATCCCACGTTATGCTAATTAAAGTCTTCTGGAGACGATGAAATGTCAAAATTGGAGATCCCACCCTTGCATATTATCTATGGGTCAAGAATTTCTGTTGATAAGTCAGCATCACGGACTTCATTGTATCTGTTGATCGGCGCAAGTGGTGGTGGATTGGTGACTCGTCCCCATGATAGGGAATGTAGTTCCCGGATAGGATATGACCAGTTTTACGACGTGTTGTACATGTTTGTGTGGGTTAATTGGGTAAGGTTTATACTACCGTTAGGTCATGCCACGATAGATAGGGGAATCAAGGGCCTGATGGGAAGGTATAGGTACCTAGTTAACACGATAGGTCATATCCATGTTGGATGGCGGGTAGGCGTACTGCTGTAAGTCCTACACGATCTTCCGGTGTGGATTAGGGGATGTGTGGGAACCCTAAATAGAAGTGTCATTAACGCTTGCTCTTTTTGCATGGAGGGATTTTGCGGGCCGGTGTAGAATCCTTTTTGAATGTTTTGTTTTTTGGAAAATCCCTCCATGTTTACATATTTTTGTTATGACATGACGGACTTTTTCTGTTGACATTTTTGGTATTTTATTTGATTCCAATTTGAGATTTTATCATTGTATATTGTTATTCTTTCTATATTTTGTACTTATATTGAAGTTTTTATGTTTGCTTCTGAACTGTAAATATGTTGTTTAGATTTGATATAATATGGCTACCGCCACATTTTTGGATGGATATCGTGCAGTATAGGAGTTCACCTAGACCTCGGAACCTTGATACTCATTCAGAGTAATTTTGAATTGGAAGGCGTAAATTTCGTTAGGTATTGTTTGTATTTCCATTTATTATTTATTAATAGACCATTTTCCCCTAGAATTATTGTGTTTTATATTATAAATCGGGAAGTGCGTCCGACATACGTCTATTGGAATCGAATTGAACTGTCACGATAGAAAATCCAATTACAGGCAGTGTCAGTGCTTAAGGATTTCTTTAAGGTTCTAGACTTATTATCATTACACAGCTAAGCATCATCCATAAAAGTTGTCACATAAAATTCATAGACGTTGTTCGATGTGATTAAATCTGCGAAGAAGTCACATTGAAGAATTCGCCGTCAGTGACGTCTGTTGTAGGAATTTTAGACTCTTCAACAAGAGGGGTACAATGCTGTATACGTAAACTATCTGTTCTCAATGCGATTATTGCGTCAGAATGGATTAATAAGTGTGCTTCTAATGAGGCTTGTTTTACCACGCATCGACAAATTAATTGATATGAAATGATTCCTGAGTTTCCGTGAAACAGTCCTATATATTATAGAAATATGAAATGGGAGGAAGTCAGTTCAGAAACCTCCCATGCAGCAACCATTGTTTTGGACTTTGATCAGACGAAAGTAGCGACTGCCGATACGACATGTAGACATCATTGTATTATTATGTTCACTCTGTGTATCCACTATGCCTGACAGGTTAAATAACAATGAACATCATAAACGACATCATTTTTTAAGTGAGTGTTTGTGAACATGACCATTAACGGATGGGTAGAAACTGTGACCTCTCTACGTAATACAACAATTAACTTGAATATCGCTGTGGAATAATACATGAAGTTCTATTATCCTAAATTACAGACACGAAATTTAAAGAACATCTTTGTACAGGTCACTCCTGATACATATGCTACCTGATTGATTATCCACATGCAAATATATTATTTCAGTTACAAGCGTTTAGGAAATCTTAAAGTTGTGATGTCCACATTCCATTTCTTTATGAATCAACGGTTGATTACAATGTACCTGATCAACCACTTGGTTAAAACTGACTGCTTCTTTCTTCCACTTTTACAGCAGTAAGGTCAGATAAACTAGGCAAAAAGTACAGTTAAACAAACACTGGTAAAATTGGTTATAATAATGAATGATTCTATTAAACCAATTTCTTTCTCTTCATAAAAGTATTCCACTACAGTTTGGAGGCAGGTGTAGAGACAGACTCTTCGAATCTAGATGTTGTGGCCATTACTTGAATATGCTTCTTCTTTTCTGTAGACAATGTAAATGGTGATTTAAGAAATGTTATTTTAGCTGAGCCGACAGAACGTAGTACAGTCAATCAATGATATTAGCTGCATCAATCTGAAATACTTTACCTTTTACATAATCTATAAAATATACTATCAAAATTGAATGTGCGAATCATTTGGTTGCCACTTATGTTTGTACATTGTCCAACAGATTTAGAGGACAGCAAGCGTCACAGCATTGCTGAACTCCGGTGATTAGAGACAACTATAAATAACTCAGGTAATCTGGGTTTTCCTTTATTATGTGTAAATTCTTAGACATTCTATTCTTCTTGGTTCACACGAATCACCTTTTTATACTCTGGGCCCTCGGACCATTAGAGATCTCGGTGTCTTCGATCCGTCACGAATAGTGGTACTACTAATAATCGTCTGATAACTATTGTATTAAGACGCGTTAGATTAGATTTTTATAAGGTTCGTCATTCCTGATTGGTACTTACATTCGTTAATTATTTCTCTTATTCATTAGGTATAGAAAAATATTATTTCTGTCCAGGTGAATTTATTTGTGAATAGTTTTGGACTGTTCACTACAATTTTCATTTGTTCTAGTGCTTTTGTATTCCCATTTCATGTTTTTTTCGTCTAAAAGTTCTTTTCATTATGCGTTTTTCAGCACATGAATATTCTTTGAGCTCTCGCCTCTTTTAGTGATCATTTTACAATAGGCATGGTTAGCTGCTGATTGCCAACTACAAGTCGTCGTTATGATGGAAACAGTACTTATTTTATTGGTGCTACAATCGTAATCAGCATTTCTGAGGTCGTTTTTAACTACAGTGCCTAACTCATATGATTTTAAGTATGCTATTGAGTTTCAGGTTTACTAGAGTGTTCGGTTAAGTGAACAAATAGGACTCTATCATGCTGATGAGCCAAATTTGTTGAAAAAAGCAATCATTTCTGATAGTCTCTTGCATATTATCAAACTTATTGTAGCCATACATTAGTAAATTATTGCGGTTGTTTATTTTCAACGATTTCGATACGATGATAACAGCGGGAATCCACAGAAATGCCGAGAATTTTAGCAGTTTTAACATTTTGATCTTGCCTGTTAAATCGCATGTTCTTGTAACTTGTCGTTATTGGAGGATAAATTATTGATATTGATGTAAATATTTACAACATGTTGACATTGACACACTGGAAAGTTCAAACCTATTTCAATGCTCTACAGATTAGATCACATTTTGACCGGTGTTATTATTATTCTGATACGACTATCGATGGTTCTAACACCAGTTCAGTTTACTTACCAGGAAGTCTACTTCTAGTATTGTTGTGATACTAGTATTATTTGAGCCTGGTCATATCCGATCACTCCTCATCTACTATGGTTCTGTTTATCACTGCAAGATACGTTAGGCATTTACATTCACTAAGTATTTATTTAGAATCGTTGTCAAATGAACTGTTATTTTTCATTCTGCTAATATGGGCAAATTTTCCTTAGGATGTTTAACTACAAACGTTACTATTTCGTTTAATTCAAGATTGAGACAAAATTTTGCACAGAAGTTGTAACTAATTGTAAATTAGGTATTATCATGTAATCAACATATGTTAGGTCGTTAATTAAGGTAAATATATCGGTTCACACAAAATTGCAAGAATAATGCTCAAATGGAATTTCAAACCGAGATAGTAGAATATGAGGCACTGAGAATGTCTAGAAAATGATTAGTGTTTCCAACCATGATTTGCCTATGTGTGATGATGGTGTTTGATCGAATATCTTCATCTGCCAGTGTTTATCGAATATGACAAGCTTACTCCGAGGTTAAACACTTGTGCAGTGACCAGTCATTTGGTAGTACATTGTCATAATGAGTAAACCGTTCGAGACCCTAAGATGCTATATTAAGGAAATTTCTCATATCCAGAATTACTTACAGCTAGTTCAATTAGGATATGAGAATAGATCTTTCCCAGTTAACAATACATTTGCTAATCTTGTCGGTGAACAAAGGTAGTCAGTGGTAAACATCTACCGAAATCTCGGTGGCAAATGACTTACAATCGGTATGAGTGTAGTTGGCAATTAATGTTTTTGGAGATTCGCTTCACTCAACCGTTCGAAGTCATCAGATGGTGCATATGTCATCTCAAGTGTCTGTATCCTCGAAGCAGGATGATCATCTGCAATAACCTCAATATATGTAGCAAAATGAACAGTTGGATGTAGCGAATTACACTTAACGGAATACTTTGAAAGATAAAACTTGATCACAAACTAAGTAAGAAACTACTAACAAATCCAAGGAAGTTCACTATCAGTAAAACTATTTTGCATGTTAATGTGTACCGTTTCTATTGTAAATATCCATTTTTTGACCTCATGGACTCGTGTTTATATCAAGCAATTCAGATGACCTGTATGATGCGTCGGATTGAATTATTGTTCCTCGTTTTGGAGTTGTGTTTTTCGTGTGCCACTGCATCTTACAATGTAACTGATAATATCATATTTGACTTTAAATGGCTTGGGAGTTATAAGCAACCCAGAGAAGTATTTTTTTTTCTTATTGATGTTCGTGGTAGAAAGGCGATGTTGTGAATATAAAAACAACAATCGGAGAGGATTACGAATGCTATATACCTACGTTTCTTCATAATATGGAAGAAAATAATGCACAAAATTCAGCTTCTGTAGATGAGGAAACTTTATTACAGCCTTTGTTCACTGAGCAACCATGCAACGTTAGATCAGAAGCATATTGGAGTTATGAACTTTGTCATAATCAGCACATAAAGCAGTTTCACGAGGATAGAAAATTGGGAAAGGTTTGTTTTTTGAAATTCCTGTAGTATAAAATAGGATGTTCCCGTGCAAGAATTTTATCTAGGGCACTATTATCCAAGTATGTCGTCATAATAATATATCATATTAACTGCTTAGGTCCTAAAATGGGGAAAGAACACCCTAAAAAAGAAGTATGTTCACTTGCTACTAGTAAACCTAATAGAATCCAACGAAAACGGTTACTCTTGGAGAACATTCATACCCGTACTATGAGGCCAACTATGTTGACGGGACTCTGTGTGATCTAAATCAGGAACATCGCACAGCAACTGTTATGTATATATGTCATGAGAGCGTTGTTGGTCAAATCGTAGATGTATCCGAAATCCGAACGTGTCAGTACCAGGTAGTATTCGCCACAAAGTTTCTCTGCGCAAACCCGCTCTATAAGGTATGTTGTATTTATTAATCGAGTGGCTTTTATATTACTCCTGTATAATTGTTACTTTGACTCAGTTCATCTCCTCACTACATGCCAACTTTAATTTCCACATGCAAAATATATTTGGTGAACTCGATATAGTTCTACTGTAACTTCTGCACCGACTTCTGCCTCAGTAATTCTTTATGATCCCACAAAAAATATTGCTTATAGGCAGCGTTATTCCATCTATCAGGGCTTAGGTTGTTGACAGCATTTGACTTTCATCAAAACTATATCTTAATTTAAAGTATGATTATGTCTTCAAAATCTATCAGTTAGTTACAACGTAGGACTTTGTACGTACGTACATCTGTTCAAGTTGTCATACCACATTCGCACAGAAACGCAACTATCAATTCAAATACTGTAGTAGTAGATGTGGTAAATGTATTAGCAGAAATCAAACAGATTCATGACCGAATATATCATTCGAGATGTATGCCCGAGAGGAATCAGTCAAAAAAGGGAAAAAACGGTCATGAGAAATTCAAATCAGGATTTGAGAGAACACGAAGATTGGATGCACCTGCGCCATTGCAGACGGTTTCGAGTCATAGCATCCAAGGTGTCTAACCATCAGATACTATTATCTTGTGGACTCCAACCAGTTAGTTTACATTTTCCAACATGACTCAATCCAGTTATCATTGACTTCATGGTTTTATGCCATGTTTTGTTTTGGTCGCCCCTAAGTTTCTTCCAACCTACTCCTACACCACAAAACATAGATCAACGAGGCAGTCGGTGTCTGTGCATACGCAACACATGTCCCAACAACCTCAACTGAGGAAGTTTCATTACTTCATTAACTGATCTGCCATCCATAACTAGGACCCGTTTCCTAACAACAGCATTGCTTACTCGATAGTCCCATGATAAACGAGCGATGCTTCGGAGACACCTAGGATCGAACACCATTGCATTAATTGGATCGTTGCTTAGGGTAGTCAGAATACTGCATTTTTTCAGCGTTCTCAGCAAGAAGAACTATGTCATCGGCATATTCTAAGTCAATAAGCGAGTCTCCTGTTAGAAGGTCCACCACTGGAAAGTCGGACGAAGATAATGTTATTTATATAAGCATGTCTATAACGAAGTTAGATAAGATTGGGGAGAGTGGACATCCTTGACAGACACCACTTGAAGTAATGACTTTTGATGACCGTTCGCCGTAAGCTCTTACTCGATCAGTGGTGTTCGAGTAAAGAGCGTGTGTAAGGTTAACGTACTTCTCTGGTACACCTTTTAATGACAGACACTGCCACAGAACCTCTCAAAATTTACTTACTTACATTTATCAATAGCTCACATATAACCTTGAACATTTTTTGTACTTGTGGATGTTAGTACTTGCGTCTCTATATTTGCCCATATCCCATTTATTTTATAAGCGTTAGGTAACGTTTAGTGATGTGAAATTGTGGTAATATATCACCGTGTAAACAATAAACGTCGTATTAGTTGTGGTAAAATCAGGTTTCTAAATATTTAATGCTGGAATCGCTACTAAACATGAACAAAACTGCTTCTAATAACTGGGGGGTATTTATTTTCTAAGAATTAAAAGTAAGTCAAACAATGAAATAAACAATAGTGTGTTAACCAGTCACATACTAATCTAATGGGTATTGATTGTAATAAAATCAGGATTCGGGATCTTTTGAATCTAACACTAAGATATTGAACAAGATATCATTAAGTCGATGAAGTTATTTATCCCATGCAGTAACTGGAAATCAATGAGACAATAAACTCTGGCAACCATAGACCTAGTGTACTTACTAAAAAACGAGATTTTCGTTTGAATAGATGGATGTTTTGATTGTAAAGCTTTCATTGTTCTCATGAACAACATCATCAACACAAACTTTAGATAGAAGCGAGGTGTTCCGACTTCCCTACGTATGACTTATAGCTTGTCCTGTTGACCTCGATCTTTATTGGCTGTTGCCTTAAACTTGTCGTTGTTTGCACTATTATTTTGATTGTATCCCTATTTGATCTGTTTCTTAATCCTATGATTTTTTGAATGGTTAATGAATTTTGGCAATTGCGATGTGTTTGTTGATTGCTGACTGACCTGAGTGCCAAGCTTCTAAAAATTCCCTAGTGTTCTTCGTGATCCCCCTATCCAGTATTTCCACATTGTTGCAATCGAACGTATGTCCATAGTAATTCGTACGTACTGATCCAAAGGAAGAAATGTCATGGCGTTTGACTGGTAATTGATGTTCATGCAAACGAAGCTGAAGAGGAAGTCCACTTTGTCTTATGTAGTGTTTTTCACAGTCTGAGCAATTTATTTTGTGGATGATATTTGGTTTTTCCTCTTTTTTCATTTTTCCCTTTGATTCCCATCAATACCCATTAGATTAGTATGTGACTGGTTAACACACTATTGTTTATTTCATTGTTTGACTTACTTTTAATTCTTAGAAAATAAATACCCCCCAGTTATTAGAAGCAGTTTTGTTCATGTTTAGTAGCGATTCCAGCATTAAATATTTAGAAACCTGATTTTACCACAACTAATACGACGTTTATTGTTTACACTGTGATATATTACCTCGATTTCACTGAATCTGGTATAGCGTTGTGTACTCAGGTCTGGGTTATACTTTTTGTGCGGACTAGTGGTGCGTCATAGCTATTTAAACCAAAGTCAGTCAAATCATGTTTAAACTTGATAATCAACTACCACAAATTTATCGGGTTCCACGTTGCGTATGACTGCGTTAAATACTAAGTCACCACACCACTAATCTATGCATTATTTTCATTTAAAATGATCCAAATAAGATGTTGACGTAAATTTTCATTGGGGGCGTTGAAGTAAACCGAAGTACTTGTATTCTATGAAACAAGAGTGGCGCAAACAGCTAACAAAGGAAAAAGTAGAACAATGTTTATTCCAGGTCGAATTATCTATTTGATATATTGACAATGGCTATAAATAAGGATGTTTAACTGTTAATTACTCGACTTTGATACAGTTCGTCATTATTACAATAAATTTAAGAATTTGTGTGATGTTCACTTACAGTATGAGTATTTGTATTGTTATCGATGTGTAATAATGCATTCCATCCTGTTGCGTTCTCGAGATTTCAGTTTCAAAGTGAGTTTTGAATATTTCAGTAACCAATATTCTTACCTAGTTTTGAATCACCTTTTTTTTAGCAAAGGCGTGCTTATACCAATCAAATTTCATGTCACTCGAAAAACAGTTCACCAAGTAAACCGTCAGCATTAGTTGCAATGGAAGCAGAACGGAAAAAGCTTCAATCTAACAGCTTCACAAATCTAGCTGCCCTTCTCAGTGATGCGTTTAAATCGAAGATCAAGGTAATTTGAGAATCTGTCATTATTTTCTATCATAAAGCACACTTGATGGACTTAAATAATTGTTAGGTACCAGGTTCAAAATTTTGATTAAATTCTAGGAAGGTATCTTCTCATGTGTCAGATTCACTGGAATAACGGTTGAATGCAACTTAATAATGCACTGGAGGTCTATTTAAGTCAGAAGACTGTCATGGTTACTCGGATATATATATATATATATATATATATATATATATATATATATATATATATATCACATGCGTGATCCTACAATAAATCGTACTTAACTAAATTTAAGATTACAATCAAGGTGATAAGACAACAAAAGTCAGTCATAAAACAAAATGACGGTTTCAAAAAGGCTGTTTGTACAAAGTATGTTTAAATCAATTAGAACATAGCCGGTTTGTCGATGATTGATCCAACTAATGAGATACAAAAAAATAACCCTGGTAACTAATAAGTAATATAGTCATAGGGCGAGAATTTCACGATCCCCGCGGATGGGAAAAATCCTAGGATACTATCGTCTTCCTCATATCCGATGACTTTTCTGTTTCTTCCTCCAAATTACCTATCTGTCTGATGTCCCTTTGAACCAAACCCCTCACTGTTCTTAAGGTCACCTTACATACCGAACCATCAACTCCTTTTTCTGCGCTTACGGCTTTTGTCTTAGGCTATTGTCCTCTATGGAATTCATTTTCTACTAGCAGTACCAGATTATCCACTTTTGTATTGGGTCTAGAGTTATACCATTCAGATGTTCGTTCTAGTGTCGGCAAATATGACTTTAACCATTTATTCCATAATGAGCTTGCTGAATGTTGAGATTGTTTCTATCTTCTATCATACCGGGTTGTTAAGTCTGCTCTCCTTACACTAGTTGATTCATTGCCCTCTAATAGTAGTAGTTTACTCTGCATCAATAAAATTCCTTCGCTTGTGTCTCCTGTCACACTTACTCCCACAAATTGGCTAAACGTGCATAAGAATGACTGTATGTAGTGTATTAGACACTTCGATATGCACTGCTCTGGAGTTAAAACAGACTAGTAAGCATCCGTGTCTTTCAACCAACCATCCTCGTTTCGCTTACATCGGTCCGAAATAGTCCATCCCCCGTCACAGCAACTTGACTGTAACTCAATGTAAGCCGGTCTTCTGCTATAGGCCTCATAGCTTTGTTGGCACGGTCGGTCCCTTTGTAAACTTCCACCGACTTATATATATATATATATATATATATATATATAATTTTTAGCTAAAAGTTTATTTAAAATTATTAATTCAAAGTTAATTGAAGTAAGTGTTGCATACGCTTTACACAATGTACATCTATTTTTATGGTCAAATAGTCACTGCTTAGTGTTGATTTAATATCGCATTAGTACTTTTAGTGTATTTTTGGTCTGTACGAATATTTTTCCTGAGAATAAAAGCCATGACTGTGTGATTTATGCATTGAAATTCTTTCCTATTTTTTCGTGATAAAATAGAAGCCTAATCTTTTTACAACGGTTTAGAGGGTCAGATATCAGTAGTAATAATCGTACTTAATAATCTAATAGATAGTTTAGTATTTTCTATTTTGTAATTGATAGTTTGAGTTTGAAAATATTGTTTTAACCTTAAAGAAAACAGTATAATACTTGTTTATATTCACTAAATCCATTTATTTTGATATTACGGAAGAGTTTAATCGGAGTCTTATGTTGAATAAATTGAGTTTGAGTTTTTCTTGGTGGCTCAATGATAAGTCACTAATTGCGTAATTTAAGTGTTCAGCAAATATTTCACACTAGTTGAATAAAATTATCATTTCTCACTTGTACAATTCTCTAATCACATTGTGAACTTTTTGTTTGACGTTTGTAAAATCCTCACAAATTCGAGTTGACCCATTTTGTAGTAGTATAAAAAAAGGGTATCATTCATAAGATGGGAATTTAAAAAATTAGGTTAAAGGGATGTTAGTCAAGCAGGGATAATAAACGATGTGTATTAAAATGTTCAAGATTTAAACAAAGTGAAATACTAGACAAATGTAAACGAGGTTACTCATCAGGCGTCAACCGCTGATTTATATCATCAGGTAGATACCGTTTAACCAGTCTACCACTTCTCTCTCACATAAGCCATAGGTCATTAACTTTGTAGACTGGTACCATTTATCGGCCTATCTGCTTTGTATTTCTTTTCCAGTCCTATTGATGATCCTATATGTCCTTAAAACTTGCATATAGATTGGAATGACTTGCACTCAGTTAACTTTAAATGTATTGTCATTGTATTAACTAATTCGCTGTGATTATGCTCTCAGTGAGATTCGTGTCAATCTAGTTATTTTTGTTCCTCTCCTCTTCTCTAACCCCTGGATCATTACGCAACCTTTTGATGTTCGAAATCTCAAGTCATTTTATGATGCAGTCTCTTCTATTTTTAGATACTTATATATTTATCAAACAACTATAAATGTGAATTCACAGCTTCAGTAAATGATTTCGTCGAAAAGACAACTTTCTTCACTGATTTCTCATTATTTTTATCTGATATTTTAATGATTGATTTATGATTTGAAAAAAATTTGAATGTTATTTAATTCTTCCGGAGACTGTGTTATCAGGAAAGCTTCTATACAAACTTAGACTTCTCGCATCAGTTAGCTTGTAAGTAATAGGAGAACAGAAGCAAGCTCATTCATTGTATTAAAGCCGGAGTTGCAAACTGTTAGACTAGTTCACAAACTTATCAATCCTACTTTTAATAACATTTTTTATTAACATTGACAAGCTTAACACATGACCTAAATACCACGACCTTTTCAAGTATATTAGTTTATTAGTTCACTTTAAATTATGTTCGAAACACTGTCTAACTTCAACATCACTGAAATAGTTCCACCGCACATCAGCAATGTTTCAGTAAACAGTTTACGATCTAATGAATGCTTTTCTTACATCTTTCGTCCCTTTAGCTTATCATTATGGTTTTTCCGTCTTCACTTTTCCATATTGTATCACTGAGAAAAGTATGATGTAACTTAAACTAAATACACTCATGTCAAGGCTGTTCATTGTACGATTCAATAATTTTAAGATCTTAGTGTTTCATTGCTGCTACTTAAATAAAAATACCCGTACGTGAATGCTACAGTATCAAGTAATTTTGACCATAAATGATGCGAACTATTGAATTTGACCTTCATTTGATCTGATCGTAAGTTCTCGTGTACTCCATAGCCTAGCGATCATAAGTGTCCACTACCAAATATGATTATATAGGCTCAGGATGCTAAAATGACTCAACACTAAACGCGAAACAACTAATTTCAACAGTTCCCCTTTAGCTTCACTCTGTTCCCATAATAGATATTTATTTCTATCAGTCATGTGCACATTTCTATACACAATCATCTGACATAAATACATATTTTTGTTCTAAAAAATCTTTTTAGATTAGTGCAAAACGCGACAAAAATATGCTTGTTTATCAAGTAAATCCGATTGAGGATTCCGATGATGAAAGTACTACTACAATTGATAATACAGAGAATAGTGTAAGTGGCTTACATAGTCGATATCTTCCTTACATGAATACTGTTTTTTTGTTCAGAACATTCCATTTATTTTTTTAATATTTAAAATGATATGATAATTTAAATTATTTAAAAGATGTACAATTTATTGTTGAGTTACATTGGAGATGATTTGTGTATTTATGACATTGTTATATCTCATGTTTAACCAATTACACGTCCGCCCCGCACTATTAACTTTGAGTCAACAGCTGAATTTCCATTGGGTCACGATTCTCTAACCTCCTTGTGTTGAGTTCAGAAGTCATCATCCCGTCTCTACTGCATTTGCATTTCAAACAGATATATTCTATATACAAGCAGATCAAACCAACGCAACTATCAGTTTAAATCATATAGTGGTAGAGATAGTGGAAGTATTAGCGGTACTGAAGAAGACTAGGGTTCGAAGGTATTATTCGAGAAGCGTGATAGTAATAGTAATCTAATTCGTTAATAATTACGCCCTAATGATAATCCATAAAGTTGTCCAATAAATTACTATTTTTTTAATGCTCGTTTTAATATAACGAATATTTTGAAAGTGGTTTTCATTATGAACTAACGTAAGCTGAAGAATTGTTGTAATTCCGACTAAACTGTTTAATCTTACCATGCTAGCTATAAAACTTATAGATTTTTAGTGTGGCATTGTGTGAAAGGTTGTACGTCTACCTTTTTGTTATGACTTCCGGTCTAGGATTTGATAAAGCTACCTAATACCTTTTTATAGACCATGGTTCAACTCGTTCGCTAGTGTGAATGACTCGGTATCATGTGTACTATGTTGAGATGTTAGGTGGTTGAAGCTGGTGAGCAAGAGACCCGGGGTCAGACACTAGACAAACATGCTGTTAGTTACTACTCACTGTCCAGTCACTTGAAAATACTCCAGTTCTACTCGAGATTAGTTGCTGACCAAATCGCTCAGTAACAATATCTGAAACTATAAAGCTGGGTGACACGAGTTTGAATCTGACAAGCATATCTGTTTCTTCAAGATTTAAGGTGAGCCGAGTTGATAAGTGCCAAAAAACACGACATGTAGGTTTATGGTTCCCTGTTCAATACCCCTACCTCTAACTACCTACATTAAATCTCTCTATATACATAATAATGTTAACTTTCACAAGTTTAATAACCAAATAGTATTTGATTGTTAGTACTAAATATTATGCCATGTAATGTTTGCTATCATCCGACCTAGATATTTTTGATGCAAATTGTCGGAATTTTTAAATATTCTTAGCTGATTGTTCTGCTAATGTCATATTATTCAATTATTATGGTTTTGTAAGCTATAACTAAATGTTCACATCATTATTTCTTCATTATCTTGTCATTTTTTTTTCAATCATTTATTTATTTAGGCAAATGATGATAGTGTTCAAAATAATCATGATAGTTCAAGTTTTTCCAATTTAGATTTTGTCAATCAAGTGTCTAGTTCTATAAAACCATCATCAACATCATCATCCATAACTAATCCATCCATTGTAAAATCAGCCAATGATAATCAATTAATGGAATTTCTACAAGGGAAATTATGTTTAACTGGTAATTTAGGCTGGTGGACATATGAAATATGCTTTAACAAATTTATACGACAATATCATTTGGTAATATTTTATGATTAACTTTTTATAATTTTTTCTTTTTCAATTGTAAATTTCTGTTTAATTTAATTTAGAACCAACTGTTAGAAAAAGTTATTTTACAATATATATCATACTTAATCAATGTAGTTATGAGTGAGTAATTGGTAAAAATTGACAAGTCGATTAATGAAGGTCTTGAATATTCATCGATCGAGATGATTAAAATGTGTATGATTGCCTCGCTACCCTCTACTCTGAAATGCATCATTGTTTGTAATAGAGAGTGGTTTTGTTAAAAGCCAGTAGTGGATAGATTAAAATAAGACATCAATAGACGGAAATACCGACTGTTAAACGTGACCAAAGCCTATTAAGGCATTCGTCTGTGAAGTTATTGGCCATTGGTCTAAGCCATGTTGGTAAGCACAGACTAACTAGTCGGAATTCACAAGATGACCACGATCACTAGTTAGAGACATTGATGCAGACGCATTCTCTCTTCATCTTCATCCCGATTTCGAATTCTAGCATTCTTTTATGTATATCTTGCTACTTGATCTTTTCGAAATGAATCCCCTAAATTGAATCGCTTATTATTACTTCTACATTACTTCAATCCTCCATGCTATATATTTTGTTAATTTCATCTCATAATACTAATATAGTATTGCATATTAAAGTAACTCATAAAGAAATACATTTTACAAACACTTAAACAACTCAATTAGTAATCCTTTTGAAATGATCAAGTGTGTATATTAAAAGTGCTAACTTTTCCATAAACAAATATACATTGTTCACAGTCCAAGTTTTATTTGAATAGTTGAAGAACTGAGTTGAGAATATTAGGTTGTGTAGTATTGATAAGTAGTTGTGTCAAGTCTTGCCAAAGAAAAAAGCAGTGCATGATTGAAATCCTAGTTATATCAATGTTGAAACTATTTTATGATTATATCATTAAATGTATAAAGAAATTTATTACGTTTTTGTTCATCTTCTATGTAACTAAAATACACTGACTTAATATTCTTTTATTTTACAATTCACCGTTTAAGGATGCAAATACAAAGCAACTTCAAGAAATTCGTCTTGGCAATTGGGATTTAGCTGCACATTTGAAATGGTTTGAAGAGAACAATTTAAAGAAACAAAAATCTTCCAACACTCCAGATCGGTAATAAATATTCATACTTATAATCATACTTGCTATCATCAATATTTTATTATAATTATGAAGAGATTGTATGGAGATTGTTGTTGAGTGTGATACAGATCACGAACTGATCAAAGTTTTTCAAAGAAGAAGCATCGAGAACCAAAAAGCACTAGATAGCAGCTGTTTTCTCATGGTTTTCAATGGTTGTTTGACTTAGGTTTATTCTTGATTTCACTGGCATTTTCTTAGTTAAGTTTTCTTTGATTTCTTAGTTGACATCACGAATTGACTTTACTTAGACAACCATTGTCAACTGAAAATGCGCCGAAAAGTTTTCTCGTCTTAGCATTAGGCTCTTCGGGGTTTCTTATCCATGACCTCAGGTGCTTCACATCTCGTGATAAGCATTTAATCCGTCTTCTATCATTTGTCTGATTTAATTTCCTTGTTGTTATTTCTATATTGTGCTTACTTTACAGGCAAATTTCATTGTACTATGGTCAAGGTGATTTGTGTAAAGAAACTGAGAAACTTCGAGAAGTTGTAGTAAAATTGAAGTGAGTCTTTTCGTAAAATTACTGTTTTTTGTCTTCTTTTAACATCTTATTACTTGTAAAAATACACCTTTGACACATACAATATGCACAATCAGTAAGAGATGATTTTTTATACTGAAATGTCAGTCAAATTAACCCTACAAACTTCTCAGAACCTATGATTATCAAATCTTATAGTTTAGTATGATACTTTTAGATAAAATTCGTAATATGCGATCATTATTCAGTGCCATCGGTATGATAATTTTTCACTTCTGATCTGCTCGATCTCGTTTATTTGCGATTTTTCACTGCAGACCGTGTTTCATCGAATGTACGGTTTCAAGGAGTGACCAACAAATAATAACTGTTGTTCAAGTTTCTTTAGTTTTTAACGTTTCGTGATAAAAAAATTAAATCTCAAGGATTATATTACAATTTGAACTTTATTTTTACTGAAGTTAGATACACTTTTTAAATGAACATTAAAATGATTCATAAGTATTATCCTCTCAGATGACTAAGTTATCTAATATGTGCCATAGATCAACTCAGAAGTTAATTCAAATCGATTGATAGTTTAAGATTCAGGTTACTGTAGAAATTCCAACATACGTGAGTACAGTTCATGAGCCTTAAATAAAATGAGACATGGTTCCTTGAGTTTTGTTGATGAGTGTGACTTTGATGTCTGTTGGATGATAAATTCATCGTCAAACTGAAGCAACGACTGGTTGTGTCTGTTCACTCGTGATGTTTTTATGAATGTTTTACTCAACTGATTACCGCTAATACTTCTACTACCTCTACCACTATGGGATTGGAATTGACAATTTGATCTCTGTGTAAAAATGTGCTATAGCGACTTAAATTGATATACGTACGTACGACGTTTTACGTTTTGACTGACTGGCTGAATTTACTCTGCGTTATCTATGCACTCTTTAAACCCTACTATATGAAAAGTAAAAAAATTGTTTTAGTTTTAAGATCGACTTTTACCAATCCATTCGTTTTGTTTTTGAAAACGTAATATCATACAAGATACCAGTTATTCTTAAGAAACAACATGGTGTCACCATTGCCATTGTACTATGAGTAGTGCGGATTAATTCTCATAGCCCTTCATGGTATAAATATTCCGACTAAGGTAGCTTAGTTGTTTTAATTAATGATATGATAGATAAGCATCAAACTTAACAGAAAAATATTAATTTCAATGACAACTTATTTATCTACAAAATTCATCTTACAATCATCACTTGTTTGTTATTGAATTGGAAACAAATAGTCATAGATGAACAATGTAACAGAAATAAAAAATAAAATAATTATTTGTTTCGAATATACTTCTGTAGTGTACATCTTTTCATGTTTTGTTTTTCTTATTTCAAAATTGTTTACCAGATGTTTACATTCAACAAGTACAGCTATTTATTTGTCATTCTCTGAGCCTACAAAATGTGTCTATTCAATGTCGGTATGTTTACATTTTTTTAAAAAAAAGAATAAAAACTTATACTAAATGAATCAATCAAATAGTTATTTAACTACAGAGAGTAAATTGATAATGTTCTTCTTTTTAATGAACTGAATGCACCGATTTTCATCAATTCAATTTATGAAAAGATAAAATTCAGTTTTTTTTTTGGAGATTGGACACCACTGGTGACCGCATAATTATTATTATTACTGACAGGTATTTTATGGAGATTGTTAAATTTTCATAGATCATTTCATTGGCAACCAGTGACAATCAGAAAAGACTAGACAGCTTCTTTGTATCCTAGCAATAGGGGCGTTTAGAAATGCTCGAAATCAAAACTTTCGATCAATTGGTGAACGCTTAACCTCTAGACACCACTGAACTATCATCCATTGGTTCTCTAACCAGCTAAAATCAAGGTGTGATGTAATCTATGAAAGAAATTGAAACATATTCCCAAAAACTATTTTACGAAAGACACTGTATTTAATCAAATGATTGTTGATATAATTCGCAATTAGAGATGTCATTTAGAGATATATGCAACATACTTCAGCAAAGTAGTATAACTGAGTTACCTACCATCAGATAAAAAGTATTTTTCAAAATTTTAACTTTATATTAAGAGTAGTTAGTACAAGGTGTAATTATTATCTTCACAAACTTAACTTCAACTAGAAGAAATTCATTCAACATTCAAACGATGAAAAAAATAAACAGAAGGATTTCATTCTACATTTTTGAATTTCTCAGCAGTACTGACACAATAGAACCAAATGGATCAATTTTATTTAGGTATTTTTAAGTCATGTAGTGAAATTCATATAATTGTGAATTGTCTATAGTTTTATTCTGATGGTCAGTTTGCAATGTGAAGTATTTCTCACTCTAGTACTTCAATAAATCTGTCCTAAAGTTGATGACGCAAATAAACAAGTTGATCATTGTTTATTCGACTAGTTTTGTGAGCAGTTTGTTTGGTTCTCATACATGATTTTCATCACGATCTTACAATAATTATGATTAGTGAAATACTAGGCAAGTACTGACTGGGCACATGTGCTTCATTCTGGTTTCAAACACTTCATAACAGGATGACGCCTTGATTCTGTTTATTAATTTTTCTAATTCAACTCATCACTTGGTTTTTATTTTGTGTGTTTTGTTGTTTTAGGTTGAAAGTTCCATGTTTTGTGATATAATCCCGTTAGCTGATGAAAATGATATAATCCCATTAGATAAAGTGTAAATTTAAGAAACTAACCTATGTGGATCATTATTTTGTTGTTGTTCTTGTTGTTAGTATTCTATTTTTACATTTGTACCTTTTTTTTCTGTCAAACTTGTATATTCCAGCATCTTCCATTCGGATGTACGTCTATGTACTGCACACTCGCTTACACATCTGCCTTACTAACTTTTCTCCATTGTTTTTTTCTTTCATTTATCAGCCTTTCCTATTGGTCTTTATCTTTTTGCATGTTACACTCATAAATATTTCTCTTTCTTTTCTTTTAAAATTTAAAAGCATATGATAACCTAAGAGCTTTCATTTTTATTCACTTCTTTTAATTTATGTCAAATACATTTTTCTTTAGTTTTGCGATATAAATTGTAGTAGTTTTTTTTCATTACCTTATTTGCGATTTTTCATTGTAAGTAAATGTTACTGTATATGGTTTGCTGTAATAAGACTCAGAAATTAGCTGTGTTCCCCATTGAAATATATCGACAATTAAAAATTATATCTATGTGTGTTCTATTTTTATTATTGTTATCAAGATGTATACAAATATATATGCTAGTTTATTATAACACCGAAAGTAAACCATTGTCATTTAATAAGGTATAGGAACCAGGACCTTGAAGTTGCGCGCATTTAAATTTATAGCAGAATAGGCCTGTAGAACCGCAAACAACATCAGCATATTAACAAGTATGTGGTCAAGCAATACTGGGTTCGATAGTGAATTTATCAAATAATCATAGCAATAGTCAGGCCACCGGTCAGTATTCTTCCACACATTCTATTCAGTAATATCTCTCAGTTGTTTCCAGATGCAGTCACTTCTTTCGATGTCTGCCTTCAGGCTCTGGACGCTATGTGCTCTTTGTTTTGCCCGTTTTCCTTTTGCCTCTAGCACTTCAAACTAAGACTAGCCTCGTCACGACGATTGATACTTTATGTGAACTGTGTTCTGTCCACCACCACTCTCTTTTACTGACTGTCACTGATGGTTAGCGTGGTTAGCGTTTTTTTTGGCAAGTTAGTTTTTGACGGAATAGGGTCGCAAACCCTCCTCCTTTACCCGGGCTTGGGACCGGCAGTAGCCCCGAAGGTTCTACTGGCGGAGTTACTGTCACTGATAGTGTTTGTTAAATGGATATAGAGTATCTTGCGTCTACCAACCATTTACGTTCCGGTCTTAAGCGTTACCCACTCGTAAATTAATAACAGGGAGGAAGGGAGAGTCCAAATGAAGAACTTAATTGCTGGCGATTTCGGGGTATCGAACGAATACCGAAATCGTGCCAGAGAAAACGGTTGAAAGGCACAGTAGAGTAAGAG